TCCCCCCTTGCGCTGTCGCCCCCAGGATCATGCGGGAGCAGCCCAGCGTGGTGCTGAGCGTGGCGCACACCGTGGCCGCCCGCATGTCGCCCTTCGTGCGCCAGATGGACTTTGCCATCGACTGGATGGCCGTGGAGGCCGGGCGGGCGCTCTACAGGTGGGTTTTTGGTTGCACCATTTGTTGTTTATTCAGATTTCATTAATAAAAGGCCGGTTTTTTTCCTTTTCCACGCTTCCACCTGAAGTCTCTTAATTTTTAAGTCACGATCTTGTTGAGCTCAGACATTTAATTGGCGCCCAAATCGTTGGGGCTTGACTAGAGGAAAGGTGGAAAAGGAATAAACCCTTTTGTTTAATCACCTGGATTGGTCAGGGCAGTCACATGTTGCTTCGAGGTGCGTCTATAAAGTGTTGTCTCACTGGAATAAAAAGGATTTGGCTCTGAACCCCCAACCAACCAGCCAGGTCCGTATAATTTATTTACATATTATATTAATACGCCGTAAATGGCGCCCAGAGTGGGGTACCATTTGTGGCTTATTAATCTAATAAGTAAATAAATCGTAGGAACCCCCAAACTAGCTGGGTCCATACAATTCATTTACTTATTAGATTAATAAGCCACATATACACACGGATGTGTTACTACCACAACCCAGCTTCCTGTTTTTTGGGGGGGTTTTCCTGATAACAGCACCTATTTTGGGGGAAGAAAAAAAAGAAAATTCCAACATTTTTCAAACTTCTCACACCCCCACAGGCAGGGGGACAAGTCCGACTGCACCTACATCGTCCTCAACGGGCGGCTGCGCTCCGTCATCCAGAAGGGCAGCGGCAAGAAGGAGCTGGTGGGGGAGTACGGCCGCGGGGACCTCGTGGGTGTGGTGAGCTCTGGGCTGGGGACACGACCTGGGGACAACCTCGGGCCTCCACTTGAGGCTTTGAGATTTGGAGCTGTGGTGGTTTGGACCTGTGTGGTAGTTTTAGTCTAGGCCTTCCTCGGTGACCAGCTTGTAACCAAGGAAGTGGCCACGTTCCCGGTATTCCCTACGATTTTTAAGTAAGCCAGGGTATAAAGAAGAAGGGAGGAGAGGCCTTCGCTCTCTTCCCTTCGGGTGGTTCTGAAGGTGCAGGTTCCCTGCTGTCGGTTTCTCATTGTGTGGGGGAGCGAGGCCTAGTGAGGCCTAGTGAGGCCTAGTGCGGCCTAGTGCGGCCTAGTGAGGCCTAGTGCGGCCTAGTGCGGTCTAGTGAGGCCTAGTGCGGCCTAGTGTGACCTAGTGCGGCCTAGTGCGGCCTAGTGCGGTCTAGTGCGGCCTAGTGAGGCCTAGTGCGGCCTAGTGCAGCCTAGTGAAGCCTAGTGCGGCCTAGTGAGGCCTAGTGAGGCCTTGTAGATCTTGGGAGGTGGAGGGTGCCAGCGGTCGTTCAGCACGATTTCTGCTGTCCCAAGGAAAGTAGTAAGATATTCTTTTGCTAATTCTTTATTTT